GGAATGTACAGTAAGGCTGGGCTTTAAGCCAATCAGAATTATGTTCAGTTGGGAATATACTTGGCACTACAGCAACTGCCATTCACTTGACCCAACATTTTCTTATTAATTGCTCACTTTTCTTGACATTGGTTAATATGAGAACATGAACTTCAGCAATAAGAAAAAGAGACCTTCTGTAGTGTACCTTTGCTCCAGTTATGATTATTTAATAATTTTGCCACTTGATAGTATCAGGGTTTAATTAATTTGCTGTGTCCAGGATTCTGTATTCCTAGGTTTATCCCTTCTTTAACCATGACTCATTTCTCCCATCTCTTCATCTCTGATCCACACTTAGTGTACCAAAATGAAAATGAAGTGTTTCTCACTGGTTTAGGTTCCAGGTCGAAGATAAATCCTATTCTACTTATGAGCTTACTGAAATATCAGAATGAGAAAATTCCTTAACATATCAGCTTAAATTGTTCCAGTTTAAATTGCTGCCTGCCCTGGAACTTCAAGAGAAGGTTAGGTGAGCTGGGGTTGTGGCTCAGTGGTAGAGTGCTTGCCTAGCATGTGTGAGGCACTGGGTTCAATTCTCGGCACCACATATAAATAAGTAAAATAAAGATCCATTAACAACTAAAAAAAAAAAAAATTAAAAAAAAAGAGAAGGTTAGGGAAACAAATTCCTGAGAATGTCAAACAGGGTAAGAAAGAAAAGGGAGATGCATTCCCAGAAGCTCTCCAGTTACAAAGGCCACAAACTCCAAAATGCTCTAAGAATTTGCAGTAAAACATAGCAACAACAGCAATACTGGAGATATAGATTCAGAGTTCAGTTCTTCCCACCAACAACAGTATGAATAAAGAAATAAAAGGTACATTCTTAATCCACAAAGGGTTCACAACACCTCAATACGAAGAAAGAACCTAGTAAGAGTTGCTCATGCCTGAGTCCATCAGGAAAACAGAGTAGTTAAGAATATCATCTGAAGGAAACAGGTCCTGGCGCTTAAGTCTACAGCTCCCTTTTTAGAATTCACTGTCCAGTCACATCAAGACAAACACAGAAGTGTTTTCTCTTGGATGAACAGTTTGAAATCCTTCAATGAACCATAGTAAAAACAACCTACAGGGGGCTGGGGATGTGGCTCAAGCGGTAGCGCGCTCACCTGGCATGCATGCGGCCCGGGTTCGATCCTCAGCACCACATACAAACAAAGATGTTGTGTCCGCCAAGAACTAAAATTAAAAAAAAAAAAAAAGACAACCTACAGAGATCAAGCTGCTTCCAAGCCTAGGAGCTGACTGACTGGAGAGCCTTAACTTAAGGCAGGTATTAGATAAAATGGTTCAGCAACTTCCCAGGAAATTCTAAGGCCTTACATTAGTTCAAATGTAAAACCTTTTCAATTTCACCCTAAAAAATATGTTCTGGTGGGCAAAGAGAAACAATATTGATGCATAGAACCACCCCCCATTCTGCTTCCTGATCTTCATGTGAGCTGGTTCCATACTCATCCACCCTGCCTTACCTTGAGCCATGAGGAATGAAGCTTGCTCTCTATGGATTGAGACCTCTAAAACTGTGAGTCCTCAAATAAACTTTTCTTCTCCTATTATTAAAAAAAAAAAAAAAAAAAAAAAAAACCCCGATCTTTGATCTTTGGTAGTAGTGCTAACTACTATGTTTTTTACTTTAACCTCTTGACTGCCATGGAGGAAAGTAAACTTTATCGGAGTGACAAGCAAAAAAAAAAAAAAGAAAGAAAGAAAGAAAAACCAACTAAACAACAACAACAAAAAAACACTGAAATCCTTTTCTCTGATGAGACACTAAAGCTAAGGAAATAAACATGTGGTCACTTAAAATGCTGGAATCATGAGGAACAGTATCTTAAAATCTCCTCTCATCTTGCCCCCTGTGGGAATGTGACAATTTAGCAGCAGGAGAAAGATGCACTGGAGCCAAAAAGTAAGGAAGAAAGTACCCCTTGCTGGTCCTCACAAAAACAACCATGGGACCCATCAACTGTTATATCCCTAAGTGAACCAGTAGGACTGTAACAAGAGAGACAAGAACATGGCCAAGTAACTCTAGCCAAGCCAGACAGTAAAAGGGCATTTGTAAGGGATGTCCCTCTCCTTGTCCTTTAGTACGGCTGCGCAGGATTCCAGGCATATGGAAAATGTAAAACCACCTCCCCAAAAAACTTCTAAATCTTTACTCTAATTTTAGAATGCGTAAATCATACATAAACAAGGCTTTTTTTTTTTTTTAATACTAACAGGTCTTAATGTTTACCCTTCTAAGAATGTCTGAGCTTTCTTAGCAGAAACTGGTGCTAGAAGATATGACTGCGTTTGAGATCACAGCAGAAGAAGGAAAAGTAAATCAGATTTTGCTAAATGGAAATAACACAACAGGGCTGGGGATGTGGCTCAAGCGGTAGCGCGCTCGCCTGGCATGCGCGTGGCCCGGGTTCGATACTCAGCACCACATTTAAAAAAAACAAAGATGTTGTGTCCACCGATCACTAAAAAATAAATATATTAAAATTCTTTCTCTCTCTCTCTCTGTCCCTCTCTCACTCTCTCTTTAAAAAAAAAAAAGAAAGAAAGAAAGAAATAACACAACAATGCTGGTTCCTGGAGAAGGACCTGAAGCATGACTGGGTTTTCTTGACTTATGCCAGATTCCATTTTGTTTCTTAATGGCAACAAAATAGGTCTCCTTAACCTTTTAATGTTTAGATTACATAAAACTAAGTTTCCCATTAAAGGAAAATGCTTTGAAGATGCTTTATATATATATATATAAAATTTTCTAAGGTTAATCATGATTTTTTTTTTAAAAGAAGAGTTTGGGTTTTGGCAACTAAAAAATAAACATGTTTTTGGTTAAGAATATTAATAAAATTTCACTTATTTTCTTTCTGATTTTTGCACAGAAGTGATACTGCATTTTTCTCATTACTTAATTTACAGTTGTATTCTTTTAGTGGTAGATAAAATAATTGTGCATTTTATAATCAATGATATTTTAAATTCCATGAAATAAGGCAGTTAAATAAGTCAACAACCTGTTATTTCAATGTATCCCTACTAAATGTCTTATGTTTTGCATGATGTGGTAACATTACAGAATTACCTGTTTTATGATTCTTAATACATCTTCAAGTTCACGTACCTTAATTTTATAACAGAATATTCTCCAAGGCTGTAATTTTTTTTTAAAGGAAAAAGATTTGCTTTAGATACAAGGCCCTGAAGTGAAGCTTTAATTGAGGATACTCCTTACATCAAAGATTTAGTTTCTTAAGTGATATTTGGCTAAAGTCCTTATTTATAGCACTCAGAACCAGCAACTCTTTCTAAATACAAGTACATTACATCTTCACAATTAATTGAAGTTCTGTCTGTGTTGGGAATAGTTCTGTTTCCCATTTTGCAACTCCTCAAAGATACATATGAGCTGCTGATGCCTAAGTCCATACTGGAACAATGTGAAAGCTCAAAACTAAGATTAAACTTTGGTATCTTGCTTTCTAAGATCTCTCAAAGATCTACTATACTTTGTTAGACCTCTTTGCTCCTAACAGATCAGGAACTTAAAGTCACTGGCTGATGCTTAATGACATTTTCACTGTGCTTCAATGAGTATCTCTTACGTTCCTAACTTGGGACAGTAAAAAGAAAAAAATCTCAGAATCCCGATTTCAGATCTCCTGCACCACCAACATCACCACCTCAAATTATCCAGACTGAAAACATAACAGGGGGCTTGGTATCAGGATATAAAATATGTGAGGAGACTGAGGGTACTGTAGGATCACATTAACCAGCAGCTGGTAAGGAAAAGACTCCGGGGGCTAAGGATGTGGTTCAGTGCTAGAGCACTTCCCTGGCATGCATGAGACCCTGGGTTCAATCACCAGCACCACCAAAAAATAAAAAGAAAAGGACTAAAACTTCCAGAATCTTTTCATTAATTCGATTTTAGTATTAGAACCTACTCAAACTCTGTTCCCAAACCCACTTCCAATAATCTGCTTTAGCTGGTGCCAGAATCCAGAGTGTTCTCGAAAACCACTCACTCAGCAACTCCCTTGGCTAGTTCGGACTGGCAATCTCGAGCCTCTGCGGCTGCCCAGCACAGCCAACTGCGCTCCAGCAGCTGCCCTCCTCCTTGCTGTTTAAGAACGGATCAGAGAGGAATAAGGATGTCACACAGGAAGGAAGGGCAAAGAGGAGTCTGACGTGTAGAGCATGAGACGCGTCCTTCACTTTGCCTCCTTTCTCTATCCTCTCTAATTTCTGGGGTTAACCAGGGAGCGACCAGGTCAGTACTGGAGACACACAATCACCTCTTACCCAGCTGCTGATCGCTGGGGTGTAATCATGGCGGAGGGGGTGAGAAGGAGAGCGAGGGCTTGGGAGACACACAGTGTTGACAACAATGCACAGAAGTTAACAAGAGAAGGCGGGGGTCGGGGGATGTAAGGAAGTCGTCATCTACGCCGCGCCGCCTCCCCCACCCGACAACAGACCTCTGAGACTCCCCCTCAGAGACCCAGCCTCCACCATAAGGACGACCTTCCTCTCCGCTGGAGAACTTGGCCGTGCCTTAGCTCCCCCGCCAGGCGGAAGCAGGAGGGGAAAGCTGACCCCCGAGAGCGCCCCTTCAAGGGGTCCATTCCGACATCATTTCAGATGGGGGGGGGGTTGCAGAAGGCGGGGCATAGCCTCAACATCTGCAGGCTGCATCACAGCAAGGATAGGTTTCCCTGAGCCAGAGGGCTGCAGCTCGCCTCCTCCTTGACCCTGCTATCCGATTACCTTTTTGCTTCTTCGTCGTCGAGCAGCTCCGGTTCGGTCGCCGCCATTACCACATCGCACTCCGCGGCAGCCGCCATCTTACCGCCGGGACCAGAGAGCCGGGTGGGAGGCAGGCGGTGAAGAGCACTTCCGGCCGGAGCATCGAGCAGCTCAGCGGCGCCGCGCCCAGAGGGGCTCCCTCGGGCCCGTCTACCAACGAGAGGCACCGCTTGAGGCCAGAGCGGCCTCCCATCCCTGGAGGTCCACGTTGGTCTCCGCGCCGGGGCTGGGGCCCAGGGACGGCTCCTGTGCGTTGGGGGCGCCACTTTATCCGTGGTAAGGAAAGGAGGAAAGCAGGATGTTGCCTCTCTAGGCCTAGGCTTTCCTCAGTATTCCGAATGTCTGGTTGCCATAGCAACTTGCAATCCTTCTGAGTCTCCTGTAAAGGCTCAGGGGAGTATGAGTTGAGTGGGGCCTGGGTCACCCAAGATTGTAGGGATAGAGCCCCCAGGACTACCTTCCCGACCTTGGAGTGTGTCCACAGCTTCTTTCCGGAGAAGACAAGAAGAGATACTTTGAGCCCAGTTCCCCCAGCTTTCTTGGGTCCCTGGAAGCCCTGCCCAACCAAGCTCGGAGAACGCAGGGCGTCTTCACCCCGCGCCTTTCATCCCCCCTGGATCTCCAAGCACCAACTGGTTCATCACCCTAATGACGCTGACCCTTTTATGAGGCTGCTTTCATGTCAACCGCTTGGGAGTGCCATCTCAGCATTAAGCCTAAAGAGGCTGACATGACATGGCGCCCCAGACCCTGCCCCGGAGTTTATAAGGCAACTCATGGGGTGAGGTCCCCGCTCCTCAGTGTCCCCAGTACTCCCACCTCTCATAAACTCTGTTCAACACGCTTGTCTGGCTGAATGCAGAGTGGATTGGGAATTCACAGAGGGCATGTCACAGCTTAATCATCTTTGTAGTATTTCCCTTACCTAAACCAATAATATTTGTGGAGTTGAATTAAATTGGGTCGTTCTGCAGTTAAATCAGGAGAGTTTGAGGTTATAATTTAAAGTAAGGGGACATGGGAATTTTAAAAAGATCTAGGGCTGGGGAAGTAACTCACTGGTAGAGCACTTGCCTACCAAACATGAGGACCCGGATTTGATACCCAGAATTATAAAATAAAAATTTAAAAAAAAATTAACTCCTTACTTAAGGAAAACAGTGCCAACATCTCTGCCCATCATAGTGCTGAGGGAGCCAAAACCACAGGGCCACCGGGTAGAAAAGGACTGGTGAAGCTCAGTTGCTTGGATGGGAGAGGTCATTTGTCCAGCTATGATTCAGTAGCTTAGCCCTTTCCTATATACCTCCTCTGTGCTCTTGGGAGGCCACAAGACTCACAAACCATTTGCCCTGATGGCTAGTGGCTCACAATCTTAAAGTCTAAGAGCTAGCCTGTATTTGACCATCTTCCCACTTCAGTTCTCTATATCTGAACCAACACATTTACTCCCTCAGCTTTAATTTCATCTGATTCTAAACTCATGCTATCTCTCCAATATAAGCTTTTTTTTTTTCTCCCCAGAGTTCCAGACCTGTATATCCAACTACCTACCAGATATGTCTGGGATGTTTCACACATTCCCAAGTCTTTGTAAGGGACCAGCGAAACGTTGGAAGAAGAGACCACAAGAGACTGACTTCATGCAAAACACACAAGGGGATTTTTTATTTAGGAGCCAATTCAGCGCGCTAAGACTCTAGGCCCACTCAAGAAGCAAGAGCAGCCCAGAGCCCAGAGCAGGGGTTGAACAATGCTTAAGTACACCTTTTAGGGAGGGGCGGGGCGGCTTTGCATACATCACAGTCTCCTTTAACAAATCACCTTACACCATGGGAAAATCAAACAATAATTCTTAGACTTGATTAGTACATTTATTGGTGGGAACAGGGTTGGCTGGAGTGATAGGTCTTTCCTGAGGAGGGGGTTTACATTTAAACTGATTGGTTCGGACCTTGAATATCTACGTGAGGAATTGCACAGGACTCCAGGCCATAATTCAACTAAATGGCCAGTGGGGCCTTGTCCTAACTGCCTCAGGAATTTAACCCATGTGTTGCAGTTTAGAAACTTTACCCTTTCAGCTTAACATGTTTATTGAACTTATTCTCTCCCCACCCTTCAACAACAGAAAGAACAAATGTTGTATTCAAGATTCTCTTTCCTGAATTCCCTATATATATTGTTGAATGGAATCAACTACTTGGCCACCAAATGGGAAACATAGAGGAAATCATGAATTCCTCATTTTTTTCTCATTCTTGATTTCAAATTTACTACCAAGCCTTGTTGATTTTCTATCAAATATCGTCCAAATCTATATATCCTCTTTCCATTCCAATCCAGACTCTTGTCATTTCTTTTTTTCACTCAGAGAAGACAACAGTAGTCCCCTAATTGTTCCTTGATCTCATCTCTCTCTGGTCTTGGCTGTTCTACAAGTGACCTAAAAAGGGAAACACTGATCAAATTTCACTGGTATGAAACCTATCAATGGTTTTCCACTCCTGTGAGTTTGATCTCTGGCCTATGTGAGGATGGCCTAAGGTCTGAGCCTAAGCAACTCCATTTTAAAAACTCCAGTTTGAAAACTGCAGTCTCACCATGCATGCCTAATAGAGAGACCACCAGTATGGCCCTCAGGCACAAACAAGTCACTTCTCCCCACCCTGATAAACTCAGATTGAAGCCTCTAGCAGGCTGTTCACGCCTGCCCAGGGAAAAGCACCCCAAAATAGAAAAAGGCAAAAAGATCAGGGTGGGGACCACTACACCAGATGGTTTAACCCCAGAGTAAATGATGTCACTGAGAGATGGTGGCAGCTAATAAGGATTAAAAAGGGGGACAAAAGCTCCAAATTTGGTACAAATAACAGAGCAAATAAACAGACATTCAGCCAGCCAACACTGATGCCCTCACGCTGAGAGCCTGATGAGGACCTGGACTGGCATCCCAACACTTTTTATTGTTGCTGATCCTCTGCATCTTCCTCACCACTCTTAAACTCTATAGCCACATCTTGACCCTGGTGACAGCCACAACTTCTCCCTATGACCCTCTCCTCAACCAGCCATCAGCTCCACCTCAGGAGAAGCCTGCCTTGGTTCCTGACCTGATCACTCCAGTCTGAGTGAGTGTGCATCTGCTGGACTTAAAGCCTAAGGCTTGAGACTTTTGATCTGACACGCAGAGGGAATGTCTGTCATTAGCCTGTCATAATTGTTTGCAGTGCTTCGAATTAATCTAGAATGGTTTGCTGGGAATCAATCTAGAATTGTTTGCTGTGAATTGATTATGTTGTTGCAGTGTCTAACATTAAGGGTTGTCGTTTTCTTGATTAAGAACCTATAGAGTGAAATTGTATTGAGTGATTTGAGTGAATAAAGCATTGACTAGGGCACAAGTGCATGGACATTCTTTATTTCTCCCCCTGGACTGCAAAAGTCACACCTTTTGCCCATTTCGACAGCCTGCCACATAGACTTTTGGTTATATGGCTGCTTTCTACCATCAATATTGAAGCCAAATGCTTGTAGTTCCAGAAAATGCCGTGACTCTTGCAATGTTTTCGCCCCCCCTAGTGAAGCCAGAATTAGACAGGCAGTCAGTATAGATAGGTAAATGGAGTCAGGTCAGATCAAGGAGGCCAAGTTTGAGTGATTCTGGGAAATTGGAGACTGTCCCCTGAGGGATTGAATGTTAATTCCTTCAGAACCCTTCCTCCACCCTTATCAAGAATCTGCCCCTGCCCCTGCCCTAACCTGTTGCCAAAGTAACTTATGCTATAAGATTGTTAATTAATGTGTCCTTGGCTGCTCCACCCTGCCCTTTCCCCTTCAGCCCACCTGTTTCCCACCTTTTGGCTATCCCACCAAGCATTCCTGGGCTTAGTCATCACATACCCGGAAGGAGAAAGATAAGAGGAAGAGAGCAGGAGAACAAAGGAAGTCTAGGACATATAAAAAGGGCAGAATGCCTCCCTTCTTGGGATACCTTCTCCCTCCTAGGAGAAGTCTATTATCCCTGGGGTTTTTTTTGGTACAGGGGACTGAACTCAGGGGTACTCGACAGTGAAGACACTGAACCACATCCCCAGCCCCTCTCCCCTTTTTAAATTTACAGATATGGTCTCACTGAGTTGCTTAGTGCCACAACATTGCTGAGGCTGGCTTTGAACTCATGATCCTCCTGCTTCAGCCTCCCAAGTTGCTGGGATTACAGGCATGTGGCACCATGCCCAGCTCTGTTACCATATGTGTGTGTGTATATATAAAGTTGTTGATTGACTTTTATTTATTTATTTATATGTGGTGCTGAAAATTGAACCCAGTGCCTCACACATGCCAGGTAAGTGCTCTACCACTGAGCCATAGCCCCAGACCTTCTGTTACCCCTTTTTAAATAAACCCTGCTTTATATGCTTGCCTCAGCATGCTTCTCTAATCTTCAAAGTGCAATATGTGAGGGAGCAGAACTCCATCTATAACTGGTGGTATCACTAGGATACCCTTTCCCCCTAAGCCTTTCAAACCTCTACACAGACACGACCTCTTCTTGGAATTTCTGCTTGATGTTGCTGCCCCCAAGTTAAATGTTCCTTTTTGGGGGCCCTCCATGGCACCTTTGTAACAGTACTCACCATAATGTACTGTAATTGTTGGTTTGGAGGTCTAGCTCCCCTAGAAGGTGCTCAGAAAACATTTGATGAAGGCTGGGGATGTGGTTCAGTGTTAAAGCGCTTGACCATAAAGGAAAAAAGAAACCATCTGGCGATTAAATGATGGAGTAAACGCTGCGTTACTATACTATGCCAGCCTTTAGAAAGAGGATTTGAGCACAGGCAGTCTACCTTCAGGAGCCTAGAGCCTTGAACGCCCCCCGCACTACAAGGCCAAGTCCTCTCTGGGATTCCCCCGCCGGCCGCTGGGGGCGCTGTGCGGCCGGCGCCCAGCTCTCCTCCGCCGGAACTCGTCTTTCGGGGGAAGCTGGAGGACGGGGGCGGAGCCCACGAAGTCTGCTTCCACCCGCGGAAGAGGGAAGTCTGTGGTGGTGCTGCGGCTGCCTTGTTTTCGGCCAGCTGGGAGGGGCCGGGTAGGGGTTCTGCGGGAGCCCTAGGAGGTACGGAGCTGGGAGGCGGGGTTCGTCCTGCGTGGATAATGTCCTCTGCTCTTCGGCCGCTTTAGGGGATCTGTCTCTGCCTCTTTTTCCCTTTGCAAGCCTTCCTACCTGGGGAAATCCCTGGCGGAGACAGACCCCTCTGGCAGTCTCTCTTGGGTATCCCTTAATTGCAGGACTCGTTGTGTGGGAAGGTGTTTATGTCAGTAGCTTCCTCTGGAGAGGTTTGTTTGGGACCCTCTAAGGGAGTAGTCTCTGGATCTCTGCTCTCTGGGCAATCTTTGGAACTCCTGGGGGATTCAGTGTTTGGAAGTTTCCTTCTGGGGCCTCTTCGGAGAAAGGGTGTCTGAGTCTATGTCTTCTGAGTAAGGGCTGTCCTGAATCCCCGAAGCTTTGCATTCAGTTCCAAACTTGGATTTTCGGTTATTGGGAGGTCTGCCCTGTTTTGAACCTCTCTTTCCTCACCTCACTCAGGATGCTTCTGTTCCTCTAGGTGGAAGGTTAAGCATGGGGAAGAGCTGCAAGGTGGTCGTGTGTGGTCAGGCATCCGTGGGTAAAACTTCAATCCTAGAACAGCTCTTGTACGGGAACCATGTAGTGGGTGAGTGTGGATGGGGCTTAGGTAATGGTGGAAGATGTTGAAAAATAAGAGGATTTGATTAAAACACGCAAAGGCTAAAAGCTGCCCCAATGGTTTTTGCATTCTGAAGGGTAAAACTAACATCATAATCCCTAGTTCTACAACATTGAACAAATGTTGGAGGGAAGAATCCCAATATCCAAGATAGGAAGGAAAAACTCCTGTGTCACACTTTGCTTAGTACGATACACATGTCTGTTCCCCCAAATCATTCCAGTCTTGCCAGACTCTCTTTAGTTCCCACATTACTTCCTCTCCCTGTCTGGTCAGCCTGTCAGGATGTCATCATCACTCACATTTCCCATCTCCCTTCCCATCAGATCTTCTCATTTTATCCCAGGTTCTGAGATGATTGAAACCCAGGAAGATATCTACGTAGGCTCTATTGAGACGGATCGGGGAGTGCGGGAACAGGTGCGTTTCTACGACACCCGTGGGCTTCGAGATGGGGCTGAGCTGCCCCGGCACTGCTTCTCCTGCACGGATGGCTACGTCCTGGTCTACAGCACAGATAGCCGAGAGTCCTTTCAGCGTGTGGAGCTACTCAAGAAGGAGATTGACAAATCTAAGGATAAGAAGGAGGTGTGTGGCCCAGGCTTCCGTTGGAAACCCCAGTGGTGGGAGAGTATGGGCCCTGGACTGGCTTTAGGAGGCCTGTCATGGCTCCATTTTTCACTCATTTGCCAAGAGGTAGTTTATGAGCTAGAAAGTCACTGAAGGGTGTTACCTCCAGGGGTGGCCACATGTTGAGACAACTTAACCAAAGAAACTTCTGTCTAAGGAATCCCTGACCTAAATCATGAAGCTCCTGCTAATCTTCCTGGTAATTTCATGCTCTTACTTTAATTCCCCAAAACCTTCCTCTAAGCTGCAAGCCTGGGATTGCTTCTCACCAATTGTTTCTCCAGAAACTGACAGCCCAACAACTGCACCTGATCTAGTGTATACCCACAGGCTTCTGTTCTTTCTCTCTTTCCAGGTCACCATTGTGGTCCTGGGCAACAAGTGTGACCTACAGGAACAGCGGCGTGTAGACCCAGATGTGGCTCAGCATTGGGCCAAGTCAGAGAAGGTGAAGCTGTGGGAGGTATCAGTGGCTGACCGCCGCTCCCTCCTGGAGCCCTTTATCTACCTGGCCAGCAAAATGACTCAGCCCCAGAGCAAGTCTGCCTTCCCCCTCAGCCGCAAGAACAAGGGCAGTGGCTCCTTGGATGGCTGAAGAGCTACCATTCCTTCTTCACCCTCCCAACCCTGTTCCAGCTTCTGGAACTCTAGAGGATAGGCTAAGCGTAAGGCGGCTATGTAGGCAATCTGTCCTTCCCAGTCAGCAGAGGGAGCAACCCACTAGCCTAGGCATCTGGGCTATCTCAGGCCCATGCCACTTCTTTCTCTGAACTCTTAAGAAATGCAGATAATTTTGATTAGTGCCCTCTTCCCATACTCTCCCTCCTTACCTCCCAACTTAAGACAGATTTTTCTCCACTGTTGCCTAGAGTTGTGGGTCAGCATCCCTTCTATCTGCCCTGGACAGGAAATAGAGCTATCATACTGAAAGTGCCCAATTTAGGATTTGGGTCCTTTTATAGGGTCCCAACTTCCTGAGCTTCCTGCCAGTAACAGACACACACACACTCTCTCTCTTTCTCACTCTCACTCTTAAGGCACTATCCTGGATTTGAGAATGGGATCCAGGTATTGTATGCGTGGCGTACTTGTGCTTACTTGTATTAGCATTAGGAGAAGCTCCATCCCTCACCTAACCTTTTTCCTGGCCTATCCTTGGCTGGAAGAGGCTAGTCACCTAGGAGTATCGTTTTCTGTATGAATTCTTCCCCTGCTCCCAATTGTTTCACTTCCTCTTCCTGTTTGGAGAGCAGATGGGCCTCTTTGGTTGAGGTTGAATGGAGAGAAGACTGGGCTAAGCAGCAAGCTATGACCCAGCAAGGTCATTCCCCTCTAGGTGTTGATTTTCTCATCTGTAAGTGAG